CAGGAAGCAAAAAAAAAACAAAATTACATGTTTTTTCAAACTGTGGAAAAGTACCACTATGCATCTATATTTTTCTCGTGGCTTAAATTAATTATTTCAACTTCGCAAAAACTTTGAAAGACTAATAATTCGCTAAAAAGAATATGTAACTCTATGTCTTATATGCAAAGCTCTTTTAAAATGTCAGTAAATTTTGAAAAAAAAAGAATTGCAAGCTATAGGCAAAAGCCATTCGAATATTAAAATGTGCAGTTATTAAACAGAAAAATATTTTCGAGATAACTAACAACACTCGACAAAAAACGACATCCTTCTTCTTAAATAATTTAAGCTCCATCATATTATCGCAACTGGTACGTAACGACACGGCGATGTGCCCATAAAGCGATTGATCTTTTTGTTGTATTATTTTCTTGGACATATCAAATATTTTTTGAAACATGTCAACTATAATTAAATTATTTTCTTCCCACTTTTTATAGTGCATGTTGAGCAAGTTCCAACGTTATGTAAAAACCTTAAGAAAATTCTAATGTATTTTGTTTGAGTTGAAAATTCAGCACAAATCAGTACAAATTTTGAAAAATCAGGACATTAGCGTACTGATTGAAGAAATGAATAAAATCAGTACAAGAGTTGAAAAATCAGTACGGTACTGATTAAATCAGTACATCTGGCAACCGTAACTATGCCCGGCAGCTCCGCATACCTTTGTGAGTCCATTGCCATAGCGCGCTCCTACTCCGCTGCTATAACTGCAAATACATCAGAATCCATAATTTTCCACAAAATATTTAAAATCAATTAATTTTACTATAAACAAGCATATGATGAGTGTTTTTTTAATTCCTTTCCTCTTTGTTTTCCTTCATAAAAGCTGAGTTCGAAAAACAACTGATACCTGGCAATGCTGCACATTTTTCCGCAAGGGTTGCAGCATGTCGATTTTTCGTTTTTCGTAACGTAGCTACGAATTACGAATTACGAAAATTCGGATTCTAGAATAAGGGTGTTGGTGTAAAGCAAAAATCGCCCGGTGTGAACGGCCTTTCAACTAATCGCTTCCAATGAAGTTGGGGTGCAGCCAACTTTTGATTCAACTAATCGCCTCTAAAATTGCCTGGAAAATCGCCTCATGCGAACACCGTATTTTTCAACTATGTATGTATGTACATATTATGTATCTACGTATCAGACAGAGGTATTTATAGCGGCCTCAAGAGAACGTCCAATAACACAAAAACTTAAAAGCTACGTATGTATGTATGTATGTAGGAATGTGTTTTTGAACTGAATCCCGTAAAAGACAATGAACAATTTTTGAACACCAGCGACAAATTCATACACTTTCCTTATATGATTTGACCTGATTCTGATGTATCCGTGGTACAGTTGACCAGTATGAGTATTTATTTAATGTCTTCTTCTTCTTCTTTTTTGGCGCTGTAACCGCCTAAGCGATTTTGGCCGAGTTCAGCAAAGCACGCCAGTCGTTTCTCCTCTGTGCCAACTGACGCCAATTGGAAACGCCAAGTGAAGCCAAATCCTTCTCCACCTGATCTTTCCATCGCAGTGGGGGCCTCCCTCTTCCTCTGCTACCACCAGCGGGTTCCGAGTTGAATACTTTCAGAGCTGGAGCGTCGGTGTCCATTCGAACGACATGGCCAAGCCAGCGGAGCCGCTGTATTTTAATTCGCTGCACTATGTCTATGTCGTTGTAAAGCTCATACAGCTCATCGTTCCATCGTCTGCGGTACTC